CAAAATGGCGGATCTCCATATCATTGATATCATTAAAGTATAAATGATTTTTTGAGATAAACCCATCGTGTTTGGGCTCAAATTAAAGGATTTTTCATTTCCTATTGATATATGTCAATGAAAATTGTATTTTCAAAATGGCGGTTATGTTATCTAGGTTATCTTTTTCATTTTTGAAGATACCCCCATCGAGTTTAGACTCATTTCAGCGGATTTTTCATTATCTTTACGAAAATATCAACAAAAAATTAAAATTTTAAGTTTTAAACTTTTATAGGTTAGGTTATGCTCAATTTAAATGATGTTGGAAATCTTTTTTATATCAAAATTCGTAATCCACATCAAAAATCCTTTACAATGACACCAAACACGATGGGGTTATTCAAACATCAACTTTTTGATTTCTTTCAAAATGGCGGATCTCCATATATCATTGATATCATTAAAGTATAAATGATTTTTTGAGATAACCCCATCGTGTTTGGGCTCAAATTAAAGGATTTTTTATTTCTTTTTGATATATGTCAATGAAAATTGTGTTTTCAAAATGGCGGCTAAGTTATTTAGGTTATCTTTTTTATTTTTGAAGATAACCCCATCGAGTTTAGACTCATTTTAGAGGATTTTTCGTTATCTTTACGAAAACATCAACAAAAAATTAAATTAGAAATTTTATACTTTTATAAGTTAGGTTATGCTCAATTTAGATGATGTTGAAACATTTTTTTATATTAAAATTCATAATCCACATCAAAAATCCTTAAAAATGATACCAAACACGATGGGGTTATTCAAAAATCAACTTTTTGATTTCTTTCAAAATGGCGGATCTCCATATATCATTGATATCATTAAAGTATAAATGATTTTTTGAGATAACCCCATCGTGTTTGGGCTCAAATTAAAGAATTTTTTATTTCTTTTTGATATATGTCAATGAAAATTGTTTTCAAAATGGCGGATGAGTTATTTAGGTTATCTTCTTCATTTTTGAAGATAACCTCATCGAGTTTGTACTCGTTTTAAAGGATTTTTCATTATCTTTACGAAAACGTCAATTTCGATTCAAAATTTCCTTACTTTTTCTTTTGACATTCTATCGGAAGCCAAAGTTCCGTAAATACTCCCGGCCGTATCGACCTGTTTCGCATAGGACGAATCGGCGTAAGCATGAAAACAACATCGAACCAAAGCGTTAGCGGCCACCTCTCGTTTGCATATGAACGCGTGACATTCCAATACTTTTATTCCGGTCGTCCTTCGGAGGATCGCCGCGAATAACGGAGGATGTACGGGATTCGGGGTCCTCGCAAACGGCGAATCTAGTGGTAAAAAACGCGGCGATGGGGTGTGGAGCGTGTTTTTTTCCGGCACCAAAACGTATCTAAAAAAAAATAATAATAATAAATAAGGCGAAATCGCATGAATGAAAAGAAGACTTCCTCAGGATGAGGAGTCAAGGTCCGCTGGGTTTCGTGGTAAAACAATTCCAAACACAAAGGTGATTCTCAAAGAATGAATCCTCTTATTGTGTTACAAATCATGTTATGCGTTGGGAGTGTGAGAAAGTTCTTCTTAATAACAACATTTTTGTTTTAATAAACGAGTTGTTATAAATTATAAAAAACCAGTTCTTCTCCATCGTTTATTTTACAACCGAATTGAAATGATTATGTAATATGTAGAAAGTATATTTGTTTTTTTAACTCACCTAACGGCCGCGCAATAATGTAGGCTTTCAATTGGGAAAAACCGGGTTATTTTCTTGTGGTTTTCGTCGACGTTTTCCAACAAAATCCCGTTTGACCAGACGCTTAACCAGCTATCGATCCCCCGCGCCCCCGTTGCTCCTTGATCAGGGTACAATTCCTGGAGGGGCTCTTGGATTCCTTGTAACCCATCTTTAGTTTGTTGGGGAACGGAACTTCCTAAATATAAAACTCTGCAGCGACAAATTGGGGTTGACTCCGACATTTTGAATTTGATTTGATTTCTTAAGTTTAAAGTTTCTTCATCTAAAAAATCCAAATAACTATGTTTTATTGATGACCATCTTAATTGCTAATTCGTGATTTACGACTTAGAGTTCGCATAAATTTGCTTCAAGGACTCCTTGAACGACGCTTATTATTGGGAGTTAATATTTTTAGTTTTTAGCGCTTCAATTAATTAGAAGCCACATAACGCAACTTAACTTGACATTTTCTGTTTGCGAGAACGAACGGCGCAGAATCGTGTACAACAGATATGCAACATTCCGTTATATTTCCGCGCTGAGACGACGACAATCCGTTTTCCCACCACATCGTAAAAACAAACCCGGAAAAGTTTCAAAAAAAAACTCACCTTTTCACCTAAATCCCAAAAAAAAATTTAAATCCTCGAGTAAATCCGCACTAAATTGTGTTGATAAGTCGTAGTTGATAGTTTAGTTGGAGCTAAATAGTTTCCCCCAACTTGCGAGGTCACTTATGGTCCTAGGCACACCTTAAATTCCTCACAGCCGTTTTTGCGAATAACTTTCGGGGTTTCCCGAATTCGAAGCGAACGGATCGATTCGTTGGGGCGAAATTAACTCCGTTTGGGGGGTTTTAAAGCGAGATCCGCGGAAAAAATGTGGTTAGGTTACGCGATGGCTCAGAAACTGTTGACTGTCCACGTAAACGGCCGACACAAGGTGTTCCACCTTGGAGAATGTCCCGGTGTGTATGAACGGGCGGGATTGGGCTTGGTGGGGATATTGGCATACCAGGTAGAAGAAGAAATTCTTCTTGCCTCTTAGAATTCGGTTTTAAAGGGATAAAATTAAAAAAAAATAAAATTAAAACGTCAAAAAAGTGAGGTTATCGCCCAATTTGACTCGGAAGAATCCCAAGAATGATATAGCACAACCACACCTAAAAAAATTAATCATCAAACACCTGCGTTTAACTTTAACCAATACACACATACTAAAAAATCTGTGCCAATAGGTTAAATTAACACAAATTCCTAAAAAAGAATTTCTTTTTGACGTTTACGTCAAAATCGTAAACGTCAAAATTGACGTAAATACAAAATTGAGTACGTTGATTAAAAAAAAAATTTCTAAAACGTAACGCATCCGAATTGGAAGAAATATGTGAAAGTTTTTTCTCTCGCTCTTTTCGCAAACAGAAACCGATTTCTTTTTGTTACCCCGTTTTTGGAACGGGCCGCGTGCCTTTAATTAATTAATTTATTTCTCTTTTTAATTTAGTTTATAATTAATTATTAATTCGAAATTAAATCGAAAAAATGATTCGTTTAAAAGTGACATCTGTTATTAAATGACATAAAAAATGAATAATTTCATTAANAAACGTCAAAAAAGTGAGGTTATCGCCCAATTTGACTCGGAAGAATCCCAAGAATGATATAGCACAACCACACCTAAAAAAATTAATCATCAAACACCTGCGTTTAACTTTAACCAATACACACATACTAAAAAATCTGTGCCAATAGGTTAAATTAACACAAATTCCTAAAAAAGAATTTCTTTTTGACGTTTACGTCAAAATCGTAAACGTCAAAATTGACGTAAATACAAAATTGAGTACGTTGATTAAAAAAAAAATTTCTAAAACGTAACGCATCCGAATTGGAAGAAATATGTGAAAGTTTTTTCTCTCGCTCTTTTCGCAAACAGAAACCGATTTCTTTTTGTTACCCCGTTTTTGGAACGGGCCGCGTGCCTTTAATTAATTAATTTATTTCTCTTTTTAATTTAGTTTATAATTAATTATTAATTCGAAATTAAATCGAAAAAATGATTCGTTTAAAAGTGACATCTGTTATTAAATGACATAAAAAATGAATAATTTCATTAAAGAACGTATCCTAAAGGATACGTTCTAAATCTATCGTACTCAAATATATTTCCTACTTGTCCCACATAAAATGCAACATGTCTGAAACTTCCTAGTTCTAGGGCTAGTGTTAGTTCTAGTTTTATCACTTGAACTAACTTAAACTTTAATTTTATTAATAACCATTAAAATGAGTCCAAACATGACGCACTTATCTCGAAAAACAAAAAAGTTAGAATAAAAAACATTAAACCCGAAGTTAGCAACAATTTAATTTTTAAATATTAATACCAACCTTAATTTTTGATTTTTTTTATTATATTTTTGTTTTTATGACAAATTTTAAGACATTTGACATTTCAAACCGGAAGTTGCTTGTATCTCGAATAATATCGGAATTAAACATATCATGTTTGGGCTGATTACAAAGGATTTTTCACGACGATTACAAATATGTCAAAATTGACGTTGACATTTCTAACCGGAAGTTGACCATAACTTGATTAATATTGAAGATAAATATGTCGTGTTTGTATTCATTTTAAAGGTTTTTTAATGAATATTG